GCCATACATGCAGTCAGACTGACGCAAAGCGATGTAAGTGTGGCCAGGGACTGAAAACACAGATGCGACTTCTGTTTCAGACTGAGTATGAACTACTCCTGACAAGAAAACTACAAATAAGTGATCGTCGGCCGAAAACATGCCACTCATTTTACAGCGAACAAAATTACTTTTGTGCACACTTGGACAGTTATTTTGTAAGGAAGATATACCAGGCACTTATGAATAGTTTGGTGATTGTATCCATCCACCGGATGCCAATGGGGTAACGAAACTAAAGTACCCAGCCACCTTACCGCACATTCCGGGAAAACCAAACTGCGCCAGAACTACCTAGGACTACTGGACACGGTCTCAGACAACAAGCCGTTGTCTCGCTCAAAGTATCAAATGTTTGCAAGCTCTCAGTATTCGCACAATTAAATTGAACTTTTGAAAACTGCGAAATGTCCCCGATGGACTAAAGCAATCGGGAAATTGAGTTCAGAGTACCAGTCCAAACTTCTGGGCGCCATTCAGGCATCCTGGGGGCTCAGCGATGCTGGTAAATTATTACACCGGCCTTTTCCGCCAGAGATATAATTGTTCCAGTGGACAATGAAATTTGGTGAGCTGCAAAAATATGATCGTAGATTGGGATGATTTTAGGTTTGAGTACATATGTAGCAAAATGATACATTTTGACGTCGAAGGTGCTACTTCATTCGCAAACGCTTTTGCAGCTGAGAGCATTGTGTGGCTAAAGCGCGCCATGTTTACATCGTTTAACAGAGATTTTTGAAATTCACTTAACAGAACTTAAATAAACTATTGATGCGTACTTTGGATGCAACTCGTATACCATACTTTAAATGTCTTTTTATTGGTTTTCGTGGAATAGTCGAAAAGAGCCAGAAACAACGTGTCCGCATTGGATGAAAGACGAATGAAAAATTGGTCCAGTAATTATACGCGTCCAGTGGGCGCAGTCAGTCAAGGACGTTGATCATAAAAACTGTGCACTATGAATGACCACCTAGATCGGCTATGTGCGAATACGTGGAGTCATATAGGTAGTTGAAGTTTGCATAAAACTTTCACATTTTTGTCAGTGCTGAGAAAATTCTTACCCGTACGCTTAGGATGAATATGTCGTAATTGTCCAAAGTGGTTATGTGGGCAGCAGCGCTGCCACATTCATGTGTGCTGACCAAGATTACAAGAAACAAGGTAGACCGTAAATCATTTCTGAGCACACATGTACAGCGTGCATTTCGCATTTATAGACCTAGTCCGCAGACGCCGTATACTGTGAACCGACCTTCTAAAATAGGATTTGTTGCACATAGTCAATCGTCTTTATAGAAAATTTTTATTTTTACACTGGGTCCGGCATACTTTGGTGTTGGGAAGCTTGATTTTTCTAACACTTTGTGACCTGAAACAGAAAACCATCCTAATGTTGTTGCGGTACAGACTGCCTGCAACATTTTTTCGTTCAGAAACAAAGGGCCTAGTATGCGCTGCGTAGCACGACTGTTGGTCCAAGAAAACACTCGGATACATAGGCCTGACTGCGCATAAATGGACGAGTAACTTAGAAATGCTAACCCCGATAAGTGGCCTCAGCGCAAACGTTCGCATCAGATTGGTCGTACCTTCACTCTGCATTCTTAGCCCCTTTTCTGAGCATTATGTTCGTACAAACGGTCGGTTGTACGCTCGCAAGCTCCAAAAACAGTATCCCCTGATTGCTCCAATTTCCTTCGAATCGGCATTGAATGTATCTGGAATCATCTTATACCATGGTGGTGGTGGGGAATCAATAAGCGGGCAAAATTCGGCCGAAGAGTTCGGGTTTCGACTAATTTACCCGCGTTTTGAGAGTTTGTCTACAAAGTGTTTTGCGGCCTTCCGCAAAACCATCATTATACTTTTCTCAGTATCCTCAAATTTCAACAAACAAGAGTAAAATTTCGCACACTTGTGTTAAGTACTTTGAACCGAGAGCTTCAGCTTCCTTCATCTAAATAAAGGATAGAAGTGACCGCGAAGATGTGCTACAAATCTTTTACCGTTTCTAGGACGTCGAACACATTTTTGACGAGTTGGCGGGAAATTCGATGGATCTCTACTTGAAGGTCTTCATTATCGCTATGCCTGCCTCATTTGGGCCTTCTTAAACTACTCTCTGTAGTAAGCAGTTTGTCGGGTGGATATTGACCTGCTCATCGAGCTTTGCAGCTAGCTTGCAAACGTCTGACCGCCAACCCAGAAAAGTTGCTCACTGCATGGACAAATGAGGTCTTCTCGTTAAACGATGAGGAGTTTGCAGAGCACGTGCCAAGATTGGCTACCCGATTAAATGTCAGCTACCACTAGTTTGGGCATGTTTTCAACTCTATAATTTTTCACTGGAGTCTCCATCCGGGCTGAGAGTAGACAAATCTGAGCAGTTGTTAGCTGGAACCACATTTTGGTATTATGACATACGTAGATGGTTTCATCGTGGTGGTAGGGTTTGGAATGAGGCCATTTTTAGTGTGATGAAAAGGCACTGACTGATAGAGGTCGATCTTGGTTAGTTTTGTTATCTTGCGATGAAGGGTCAAACAGTTTGCTTTCCGGATGCCTCATTATGCTCCGAAATGGGTCAACTCGTCAAACGCGAGACTACTATCCAAATAAAAAAAGTAACAATTTTAGTGGCACAGTCTTCTCGCTACTTAGCTGAGTACCTACCGAAGGTGAAGTTATACCACCCAAATATTTCCTTTTCCGGGTTCGTTTATAAAAATTTCCAAATTCTCATTTCCCCTGGAAGTGGAAAGCACTTGAATTACAGTATTAACTAGGTGCATCAAGATGAATCTATTTCCTTGCTATTTGTAGCTCATTAAATTCATTCGGTGACTGTGAGGGTCGTTTTTTATTCCGTGGGAAACTATCTGGCCAATCATCCAGACCAAATTTTCGAAAGCCCTTTTTGGTCCGGTCAACTTCTCACTGTTACCTAACAGGTCTCTTACTTGGGTACTCATCCACGCTCAGAGAATGTGGAAGGAAATACATCCTTTCAAACTGAGATGCTATTGTGACGGTATCTTTTATCTGGGGAAAATATTCCGCTATCTTCATAGGTGAACCCAGGTGCGTTCTCTACCTTGCAATTTGGTTGGAAATAAATCCAGGTAAACAACTCGAAAATGTCGACCATAAGTCCGCTTGACTCACGACTGATTGGTTTGATGAAACCCGAAAAGAAGTTGCCAAAACCATGAGAGTACGTCGCACTATTGGAGTGCCGAATATCGGTGAGCCGAAGGCTACGTCGTGCGAGTAGATTACAAGAGAACAAGGTGAGTCTGTCACATCAAAGACTTGTAAAATGCTTTTTGCTTTTTCATAGAATGGTATGGGAAACTGGTGGAAACCGAATGGATCGATAAGAGGAATGGAAAGGCCCGTTCGTTTACTTCGCTTTTTATCGGCAGTCATGACGCTGGATTCACACAATCGTGTTCTAAGCGAGAGCTAATCACACGGTTGATCAATCGTCCTTGGTTGAACTGTTAAGCTTCCAACCATTGTCCGGAAGTCCGCGGTTTCGGAACTTTCTCTAGTTTCGTGAGATACGCCGCTGATGATTCTCAGTAAGGATAAAACAGCTGTACAGAGCTCCACGGCTTTCCAGCATAGAGTGACTTCGTTGATAGGGTGCAATCCCTTTCTCTAACTGCAAAGTCGCTTCACACCTTTATCACAAACGTTCTGAATAATCCCATTCACTAGAATTTTCGTGGGAATCAGTGCGCACTATTTGATCACGATGAGAACTCAAACAGCGCCCTTGTTCTCATGAGTGAACTGCTGAAGTTCTGACCTAAAGACTGGCTAGAGGGTAAAGTGCAAAAGTACCACATTTTCCACCGCAAAGGTCACAACACTTGACCAACGGCTTTACCGGATATCCGTCATCATCCACAGCATAAAATAAGTGTTCAATACATTTCATCTCAACAGTTGTCCTCAAACGATAAGTCAATTCTTGGCTTATTCCACTTTTCGCATTCTATCTATTTTTATCAAGTGCACCTAACTGTTGTATTCATCACATTCTAGTGAGACAGACATGTGTTAGTGCTTGTTACCTTCTGATAATCAACTAAACAAGAGTAAAAAGAAAATGAACCAGTCGGCAAAGCTACTGCTTCTCTAGAGACATGTAGCCCCGACAAGTTTTGTAGTCTAATTCACACGGCATATGTGATTAGGTCTGACAGCTCAAAACTCACTGATTTATTTGCCCTGTCGTATCAGATCGATAACCTAATGATCCGAAAATTGTCAGTTGTCGGGGTAGTAATTGATGGAACCGAACGGTTGTTTATCAAGAGTGGCAGTTTTATTGACTTCGCCCCAGCCTACTCACCGATATCGCCCCCGCCCTAAAGTCTATGTGGAATTTTTGTAATGTACTACTCATAAGGTTGCTGAAAATCCATTGACAGTCCACGACCGGTTTCGCCCTATTTGGGGCTCATCAGGTAAGCGCAGTCCCCGGGTTTTCGTCAACCTTATGTTCTACTTGGAACCAATTTCACGAAATTCGCGAATGTACACTCATTTGCAAACATTCAGTTGCCTGAAAACATCACAAACGGGAGATTCAGCTGGGTTCCAGGTGAGTCTCGAAAAACCAAATTAGTTTGCAAATGAGTGTATTTTCGCGAGTCTCCGTGGAAATTTCTCCTAATAATGAGGGGGTAAACAAAGTAGGCTGAAGGTTTGCAAATTTTCCCCGTTGCTATGGAGATTCGGTAACTAGGATTTCATTAGTTTCGACAGTTCTTTACTGTGTGAATAAAGCCCAGACACCCCGATATTTCAAAACGAATTGGAAAATGGGATTTTATGGACCAGGGTCAAAATAAAACGGCAGAGAGTGAAGAAAGTGCTGTCGGTGGAGGAAATCTTATTTATTCGATTCAGCCGATTGTACTGGAACGCGGCTGTATACCTTACGGTTCGTCGAAAGAGAATTCCCGTTTGGCTACATTCAATTCCATATTAGGCAGCCCGTTCAGTGAGGCTTTTCGTTGCTCCACTTCACTTGAATGGGACAATTTGGCAAGCCTACCTGGCAAGCCCAAGTCAGGTGGTTCGTCTACAAAAAGATGTGTTGTTATTTTTCGAGTTGCAACTCCTCCGGTCTTTGACCATCTATTTGGTGAGGGTAATTTCAGAGGTGTATGGGGCTGCATACCAATTACCCCATTCGAATGCGTTACTTCTCCAGGTGTGTTCTGTTCAGTTGACGTGGGTACTTCTGAGTTTATAGATTGATTCTTATCTCGCATTTCGGTTTGGGAAAATTCTCGTACAGATGTACCTTGTTCATTGTTGAACTTTCCAGCCGAAGATGTCACTTTTCGAACCGTAAAAAATTCTCGTACAGATGTACCTTGTTCATTGTTGAACTTTCCAGCCGAAGATGTCACTTTTCGAATCTCTTGCTCAAGCGGTTTGCTCGATGGGGTTACCTCTTGAAATGCACTAGGTACTCCCGGATTGATATTTCGTTCCGTGTCGGGCAGCCCGGAACGTGAAGCTCCTCTTGTGTTGCCATCCTCGCCTGAGTTTGACAGGTAAACCGAAGTGGTTACTTTCTCAGTTGTACCTGGTTCTGTACTAACCATTTCGGTGGAAGGAGAAGCAACAGGAAATGTATCCAATTCTATGCCAGAGGTCATTTTGTGCGCTGATTTAGTCATGAGAGACATGTCACTTGTTGTTACAGGTGATATGGTTTCTGTGACTTCAGTAATCCCCTGGTTACTCGACCTGTTAGCTGCCACTTGTGGTAACAATCCATCGTAAACCGACTGTTCTGTGAATGATATGATATTGTGGAACAGTTCGCTCGATACCGCTGACGTTTTAGCTGCCGCTTTGGTTGGCATACTGATACCAGTTTCTGCGGGAATACCGACGATCTCGGTTGATGTCAGATCAACAAGGGCTGATACACCGGTGATAGCCTTTCTTGTTGTTTTATTCTTGGATGATTCAGTTGGCAAGTTGGCGCTAGCACCAGTGAAGCCATCCGTTACATTTGCTTGTGTATCAGATTCAGAGATATTGGAAACCAATTCAATTCGGAATCCTTCCGTTGTAGAAGTTGCAAAGTTTGGTGCACTTTCGGATGAAAAAGTGCGATCAGTGGTTTCATGTTGTTGGTCATTAGTAGCCGCGATCGGTCGGTGGATCACTCTATCGGCGATTGGTTTAATCGAACTAGACACTGCAAAACGCGAGACTGGCGCGAAAGTGGTCGAAAGGGCTTCCTGCAGTCTGTCGCTCCGAGGTGAAACAGTCCCTTGATTGGTCTTATACGGAAGTACCGTGCTCGTGTCGTAATCACTAGGAACTTCAGTCAGGTTCATCTCAGTCACCGAAATACTACTGCCTGGAAATGTCAAATTGTTTCTGCTGTGCGGACCATATGTTGTTACTAGACCTGTAGTTTTTAGAAGGACGTCGTTGATCGAGACCTCAGCCTCTGTGACTTGTGGAGTCTGGGTTATCCGGGTGTCAACACGGCGCCTCACTGAGTGACCAGAATTTACTGATATTGTGGACACTGAATTATCTGACAGATCACGTGGACCTACTCGCTCACCTGACCCCACACTTTTTGGTGTTTCGCCGTTTAGACGATTAGAATCGCGTTCACGATCCAGCTGGAGCGCGATGGTGGCCTTCCAGTCACAAGCTTGTTCCGTTTCGTCGCTCCCAAGAAGACAGTCCGTATACCCATCACATATTAGTTGATGTGATACACATCTGGCGTCCAAAACACACGGGTATGTTTGAGCAGGACATTTGGTCCCTTGAACCCGGGAACATGTTTCTGGTAACTCATCTTCTCCGTTCGGACAATCGTGTTGACCGTCACACATCCAAGCGGAAGGTATACACACCATCGAGTGTGATCTAAGTTCACTCATAAAGCACGCGTCCCACTCAAAGAGACAACCAGTTTTTAGTAAGTGCTGGTGCATGAAAAAAGGGGTGTGATAACTGGGCGCATTGTGTGTCTGACTCAAGAAAGTCAGCACCCTCTCCTCCGTATACTGTTGGGAATCACACACCAATTCATCCTCTCCGTACTGGCAGTCTTTTACTTCGTCGCATAACTGGCTTTGCTGAATGCAGCGTACTTCTGAAATGGTTCCAACAGACCTTGATCGGCAGGCCAACTCTGTGTTTTGCTCAAGGAGAGTGGATATTGGATTGGAACAAGTTTGCAAACCCAAATGGCTTCCTTCCAAAGTAGTAGGTTCCGCATGGACACATGAATGTTGTATCCACACATGCAGTAGATCATCCACGTCCTTGTGTAAATCATCTGAAAGTCTCGGAGACCGAAGTTCAATTTGAACTGGGGTCCCGGCAACGCTCAGTTCTATTTTGTTCTGTACTCCAGTATAAAAAACCGCATCAGAAGGCTCTTCAGACCCCAGGTTTCTTACCACAAGTTGGAAACCCTCTGGTAACTTCAAGTGTTCCATTCTGAGCCGGATAAGTCGTGGCTGTTCACTCCGATGACGGTGTGGAGGACTATATGGGCTCCCGTGCATCAAGCCATGGGAAGATGAGTAGCCCGGAGATAGCAGCCAACCTTTGACTATTGGAGTGGATAAGGCCGGGGCCAAATATTCGATCACCCCATGACATTGGGACACGATTTCATTATATTCCAAGGCTGGTCTGCTAAGAACTGTGTGGCGTTGACCGACAAACAGCAGAATGAATAGAACAAAATTTTGTCCGGATACAGCACACATTTCAAAATGCACGACGCGTCCCACTCAAAGAGACAACCAGTTTTTAGTAAGTGCTGGTGCATGAAAAAAGGGGTGTGATAACTGGGCGCATTGTGTGTCTGACTCAAGAAAGTCAGCACCCTCTCCTCCGTATACTGTTGGGAATCACACACCAATTCATCCTCTCCGTACTGGCAGTCTTTTACTTCGTCGCATAACTGGCTTTGCTGAATGCAGCGTACTTCTGAAATGGTTCCAACAGACCTTGATCGGCAGGCCAACTCTGTGTTTTGCTCAAGGAGAGTGGATATTGGATTGGAACAAGTTTGCAAACCCAAATGGCTTCCTTCCAAAGTAGTAGGTTCCGCATGGACACACGAATGTTGTATCCACACATGCAGTAGATCATCCACGTCCTTGTGTAAATCATCTGAAAGTCTCGGAGACCGAAGTTCAATTTGAACTGGGGTCCCGGCAACGCTCAGTTCTATTTTGTTCTGTACTCCAGTATAAAAAACCGCATCAGAAGGCTCTTCAGACCCCAGGTTTCTTACCACAAGTTGGAAACCCTCTGGTAACTTCAAGTGTTCCATTCTGAGCCGGATAAGTCGTGGCTGTTCACTCCGATGACGGTGTGGAGGACTATATGGGCTCCCGTGCATCAAGCCATGGGAAGATGAGTAGCCCGGAGATAGCAGCCAACCTTTGACTATTGGAGTGGATAAGGCCGGGGCCAAATATTCGATCACCCCATGACATTGGGACACGATTTCATTATATTCCAAGGCTGGTCTGCTAAGAACTGTGTGGCGCTGACCGACAAACGGCAGAATGAATAGAACAAAATTTTTAACGGATACAGCACACATTTGAAAATGCACGATAGAATCGGTCCTGTAAAGAGCGATGAAGTGAATGAGCCAGTGGAACAACTAGTCACACAAATCAGACGAGACAGGTCGATTTAATTCCTCGTGATTCTATTCGATCTGTTAAATAAGCGATTAAAAAACTGGTTTAAAAGTCACATGCACACTCGGATGTCAAAATATAGTGTCTTTGCCTCCCCCCGCTAAAAGCGTTCTTCAAGATCAGGAAAGCCAGCTGGGTGCATGACTTTCAAAGCTAGATATTGGTGATGACAGATTTATAAACAAAGTTGTAAAGCAAACGAGCGCAGATCATGAGGATTTTCCAAAAAAAAGGTTCCCCGTTTTTTCATAGCAACCCTAGTTTCACGTTGAAAAGCCACCCGAATCGCACAGTTTACTCCTCTTAACATTGTTGACTTCTGCGACATCGATCATGGGCTATCGAAAGGTTTCCATCAACCTTATGGGTAGCCTTTTACGTCTATAAAACTGGAGGTTGCTTCAAGAGCAGTGCACTATTGAAATTAACTTTGAGACAGAATTATATTTTTCGGCTTTATCTGATTTTTTATAATTGTAAAAGAACGTTCGGCTATATCTTCTTTTCGATGCCTGTCATACCACCCGAAGGAAGCACAAGGGCTGGGAAAATGCCAGGTTGCCCTAGCCTAAACATGGTAAGTCGAGGGCTAGAGGTCGGTTTCGAACCACAGACCTTGCGGTCAGTAAATTCGCGCTCTAACCACCGACTGTCATCTCATCTGTTTTATAATTGTTCCCATCATTTCCCCGTAATCCAACTACACAACCTGTACAGGGGAATTAGGAGAACGCTGCGCCATTAGATTGTAACAAGCACCTGAGAGACCACTCCCTAGGAAGGTGAAATATAATGCTCTTCATCAGTCAGGAGCATCCCCATAGAGACCAACAACTGAGGACGAGGGAGCGAGTGAGAACTACTCGGGAGTGATGTAACAAATCAAGTAGTCAAGCAACCACAGATTTTCGAGAGTAGCGGAAAATTCAATTCGTCCCTTCAACCCAAACATGCGACAATCATGACCACCAGAGTTTCATCCGCTACAATACATCACTTGTCAAATGGAAACTTAAGAGTTAGGGTTGTCTATATTACAGCTAGCTGATAAGTGAGTTTCTCAATCCAAGTATCGACTTTGGTTTACATGCCTGAATTTGCGCCAATGCGTTTAACATCTAGGATTTGGGCGAGATGACCCAAGTGGTTAGAGCGCGACTTTCCTAACCAGAAGGTCCGCGGTTCGAATCCGACCTCCGCCTCTCGACTTCCCCTGTCTAGGATTGGGCAACCTGGCAGCGTCCCAGCCCTCATGCTTCCTTCGTGTGGCATGGCAGCTAGGCACCGAAAGGGTGCTGAAGCTGAACGATTTTTTTCTAGGATTTACAATCCACCAAGTCATTACACGGGGATTTCAATTGAAGAATGTGTCCAGCACC